GAGTGATACGGAGGATGAGCCAGCGAGTTGGGCGTTTGTCTGATGGATATTGTACTCTTCATTGTTTGTCTTTCATTGTGTGGAATTGAATATATGTATGGTGATAGGAGTACTCAACACAATTTGTGTTTTCTAGCTACCCCTAGTTTCTTGAATGCTAGATATTGCCTGGCCATATTATGCCAGCTGTCTCAACAACAAGACTGAGCTTATGTTTCATGTTCTCTTCAGTGACTGGATTACCCTCCATGTGTGATGCAAATCCACATTGTGGGCTGATACATATCCTGGTAGAAGTGAGCATGGCAATGGTTGTGGATCTGTACAGGAACATACTGGTTCAATGCTTCTTCCTTTGACCGCTTATCCTCTCCATTTGCAATTATTTCCGCAGCCTGGTGTACTCGCCTGACGAGCTCTTCCTTGACCTCCATCTGGTCGAGTGATTAGCATGACTACGCCAACCAAACAAGCGAGAAGGGTACCTCAGGAAATTTACTTGACACGAGACCGAGAACGACGGACTTGTTCCGTGGAAGCCAGCGAAGGGGTTCAAAGTTACCCGCACGTTCAGTCTCGTACTCAAGCTTTTAATAATTCAGTAGCGACACTCCACAAGCTTTAAAACACTCAGCACTTACGTAATAAGTATCGACTGGTATCTCTTGGAAGATTTTGATTGCTATACGATCATAACCTCCTTCGCTCCAGTGCCGTCCACCCTGCGAACATAGCAATACATCATCAGACTGACAGGACTGAGTGATGGTATCTCAATACCTTGAAGTTACCACGGCACAGATGAATCCCAACTATCATATCTTGCGGATGCCCCTCAAAGCAAGCCGCGTAGGCTCTGCAGTACGTGTCGAACAATGCAACATGGTCAACACCGCTCTCCTCCATTCCCTTCAACATCTTCGTGTCGCAGAAAAACGTGAAAAGAGGCGCGTCGATCTGAAGATTCCCTGTGAGAGCGAAATAGTCCGTCAGCATGTCTTAAACGTGGGAGAGTTCTGGTGACATACGACACCCCGCAGCGTAGAGGTCCTGGATCTCTTCACGGTATGCCTGCGCTACATCTGCGAAATATTCATCTACGAACAAAACTTGATGAACATTTCAAAGGCTAGAGCCACGTTCGACGTACCATCATCTTTGTATACAGACTTCGGATAAGCATATGGTCCATGCCGGAGATGGAACCATTCTGGAGCGCACATAGTGATCTTCAGATTCTTGTGTTCCTGGTCATGGCTTCGTTGAGCATCCGATCATCGGGATGTACGCCGGATATGGTCGGTATACGTACCTCTGGCTTCGTGAGTTTTTTCAAAGCTTCGAACTGACCAATGTAAAATGGCTTGGTACGTTTCAGTTTGGACTGAGCGGACGAGATAGGTCAGCGTTTAAATATTAGCATATATGACTTACTTCGCATATGTAAGAAGGAACGCCGTTACGATTATGGATCTTGAATGCTTCGACATCCGGGACATAGTCCTACACAGCTCGATGGTCAGCATTTATTGCGTGATGAGTACATCCCTAGCCTGCGGCAGGCTTACCATGAACCATTCCAGCGGAACTGGCAAGACTAGTCAGTCCTCTCATCAACAGTATATAGCGGTCGATGACGCACCTTCGGGGATATACTTCATGCCATCAAGGTTGTCGAAGACTCCCTCATAAAAGATATGCCTATCCAAAGAACGCATGTGCAGAAAGTCCGAGGGATGATATAATCCACCCACCTTCTGAACTCGCCATCTGTGATCGCCTTGATGCCCACCTCCCTCTGCATTTGGATAGCGTTCCTGATAGCCTCGTCCTCCACCACCGTCAGCTCTTCAAGCGAACATCTCCCCTCATCGAAGTCCTTCCGCTTCTTCAACAGCGCCAGTGGCCTCTTCAAGGACCCAATGTGATCCGCACGGAAAGGAGGGTGCAAACGTGGTGTAGAGGCCATTATGAACACAGCAATGGTTTCAACAGGTCAACGTTAGAAAGCTCGAAAATCAAGAAGGTTGAATTCGTCAGCTCGCTTGTCTCAAGTGCATGAGCATGCTAAATACCACACCATCTATTCACAGCGATAGCACGCGGCGGCCCCCATGACCCTGGATGGGTGGATGTACATATGACCGAGGTTCTTATTCCTGCGATGGAAGAGCTCTATTTGTGATGGCTGAGAAAAGAAACTCAGATACGTCCCGCGGATCAAAAAAGGCACTATGATAAATGTACACGTGTGAAAGACAATGTGAGCATTATCAGCAGAGCTGCCAATGGTCTGGACAGAATAAAACGTACTCAGGAGGTAGCAAAAGACAATGTAGAGCAGAGGAGCTGAATCAGAGGACACCCCCCGTCCAGCTGCTAGACGACAAAGAAGGAAGGGCCGGACACTAGCTAGAAATAGCCGAGGTGCACGAGGTGAGTCATCGATGAGCCAAGTTATCTAGGCAATATCTAGGACTGTCAGAGACCTGTGCTCGGAACCGTAAGCGCGCACGGGTTCAAGGATCGTCTTGACTCTCCAGTGTGTACCTGACGACACAGTAGTGACTGCAGATGATCAATTGACGAGCATATGACTTCCACTACGAGCCAATATCACGGATCATTTTCAGAACTTCGGTAATATGTGGTACTTACTAAGACAGTCCAGGCCTCCGGCTAGGGAGCCAGCAGGAGTGTTCGCAAGCCATTAATCGTTCCGAACAAGTATGCACCAAGTGAACTTATCCGGTATGTGACCTACAGCACTATTCACGAAGATCAACTGAGTGCCCCCTCGATTACCTCTAGTAGGTATGACTCGCCTACGTTCTCGTCTCAAGTTTCTTGATACTATTCTGTGGTAAGAACAAGTCAAGTGATATCCGAATACCTTGAATTGCGGTCACTTCACACGCTAAGTCAACTTCGATTTCTGTATAATAGTGGTATGATGGTAACAAAACCAAAGAAATCGAAGACATTGTACGTACACGGGAAACTTCGAGTCAGCCCACACAAATATCTGTAGTACCGGAAACCTCCTGGCAAGTACCTACCCATATTGCTGTCAGCGTTGGAGTCAAAAATGTGAGCCCTTGGTAGTAGTTTATTCAGAAACCCAGAATAAATGTAGTCGCCAGCGCAGGCAATGCAATGCAGAAATCGGAAGACAACCTACTCCACCAATGAACGTTGAATTCGAATAACAATGGGGGGAAAGATGATGTTTGAGCTAGTCTACCAGTGCCACCCTAGTTTGTGGTGTCATGTTCGGCCAGGCTTGATCCAAGGTCTGATCGAGAATGAAATTTATGAAAATGAACGCTTGCGCCTCGTATTCGTACATACCATAGACCTTGAAATTCGACAGGATACATACATCAACGAGCGAGGGTTTCGCGACACAAGAGCCAGACCTCAGGAGCGGTCGTGTGAGCAGAGATATATTTGATAGCCGCCACCTCGCGAAACAGTGTGAGATTGCCAGATTCCACCGCAAGAGTGTCCGCAACTGTGAATACGATGCAACCTCCCTGCTTCGAAAACACATGCGCCCCGAACACATCCTCCGGAGTAGGAAGATGTTCGCATTCATTCGGCAATCATTTCCGAAGCTCCATATGACCATAAACTGGTGCGGACGGTTGTGTGTCCTGGTTGGTCAATGGCCCTAGGCCATTGATGACGTCGCATGCATTAGTCTGGTGTGAAGGCAATAGTGAATGATGAGTACTCATACTTTGCTCTGCCATCACTGGACAGACGTACGATCGTGATATCCTGTCGTAGCGATATGATCCTTGAGACGTCGTAGGGAACGGAGGGCATTTTGCAGCGTGCCTCTCTAGAATTTGCTGTAGGTTTCCTTCGCCGCTTCAAGCTCCTGTTCCGAGAGTGTCGAGGCTGGAAATATCCTCTGCGGAGATGCTGTACAAGCGAAGAAAACCGTGGGATGGATCGCCCTCTGTAACTTGCATGGTTGAAGGCATGCGGCGTCCAGGTCAGATAGTCCCTGTAGTGTAAACCGTGCCCAAATTCGCAGTAAAATTTTCACAGCAACCACAAGGTAGACGAATCGCGCTATTGCGCAGCTGCGTGTGCGAATACAATACTGGAGATTGAAGCTGAAGCCAGCCCACATGCACAATAATCGAATGAAGGAAAGGAAAGTCCAAGTCGCTCGCGGAAGGCTTCCGCGCTTACGGAAATCAAGTCGACCGTGGCTACAGCTTGGCTACAGCCGCCAGCAGCGGCGCGAACAATCCGAACTCTAATTCTTTCCCCATATCGCGCTGCGCGCAGGAATGTGTATTTTTCTCCTGTTCTTTCCTTCCATTCAGTCTCATAGTTCACTACATGACTTATCACTGGCAGTCTGTAATTTGCTGGCATCTGTCTCGTTGATGATGCTCTACACATTTAGGAATGCGTTTGGACAGTTTCTTCCTTCATTACCTTAGCCCGTCGGACTCGCTGACTTCCACCGATGTGATGAAGACCGAAGCCAGCTATATCCAAGCCTTGGTTTCTTGAGGAATGCGTGCCTATAATGCATGAAAGGCGCAATAACCAATGCGACGGGTACGGGGCGCGCCAATGGCGAACTTCACAATGTTGGGCTGCGTATTGTCATCTTATGTTCTTCCGCACCGGCCCTCACAGTCGTGTTCAGCAAAGTCACAGCAAGGTATTCTAGGTTCTGGGCGAGTCGGTCACCACCCGACTGTGGGGATGGTCGCAGAGAGATGTATCATCAATATCTCATGAATCTGTTCGGGTCTCGAGATCGAAGTCTTGATTAACCCTTCGGTTGGCTACACGAGTTACACTCCGTATTCCTGATTATCTTAGTACAAAAGAACGCTTTTCACGGATATATACCGCCTAAGTGCTTTGGGACCATCTTCGAGAGTCCAACATATCTGAAGACTCAACGCAGGGCTTGGCCCATCAATGTATCCTCCTCTAGTTGTATCACGCTCATCGTCAGAACCGAGCCTTAGAAGTCCGGCACAAATTGGATTGTACCACAATTCGAAACCTGCTACCCTTTACTCAAGGTTTATATATTTGACGGTCTATTTCAAATATTCAAAACCTACTCAATTCTGATACGTTTCCACTGCTGGGGGCCATAAACATCTCATGCTCTTTACAATATAAATGCTACTTTAAAACTGGTCGAAGTGCCCAAAACATCACCGAAACATACACCCGCCGGCTGAACGTACAATAACTGCACCTATAAGAAACTTATGCTTGTGCAATGTATAAGGTAAAGGAGTTCTGCAGCACTGTGGACTGTAGATAATGATCCAACTTATAAGAAAACTACTAGGCTATAGTGGTGCTAGAAGAAAAGCTCGCACATCATACGAGTTTATACTCTACATTGTCAATTGGTCCGTGATTAATTAGGCCCAACAACGACCTGCTTGGTCTTGTTGAACCCTGCGATAGTCTCATTGGAGATTTGCAAGTGAGCCTGTACAAGCTGTGGCGGGATCAACGCGAGCCACTGCGAGGACGACAGGTTAGCGTCAAGAACTCGTAGAGCAGAGTAGCATACTAATGCGCACCTGAGCAAGGCTGACGTCTTGGAAAACATCTGTACGCACAGGGATCGTGTCAGATTCTTGGAGCCAAATCATGCTTCGACGCACCTGTATTGAAGATCTCGAGGAACTTCAAAGTGTCATTCCCAATATTTTCAACGTAGTGCCCTAGTAGCGTGAGGCCGATCAGCGCAATCAGCGAACAACGAAAGAATGAGGCACATACCGTATGTGGCCGGGACGAAGCCAACATCTCCAGCCTATATTGAGAAAATGAGATCAAAACACAGGTTACAGGGACTATGGCATACCTGGAAGTTGAATGTCTGCGCAGTGCTACTCGACGCGAATTCTGTCACCCTGGCCGTGCCAGAGCTGAATCCAGGTGAGCTCGAAGCTCTCCTGCAGACAAAGTAGACACTCACAGATAGTAGGTCCATTCATCCTCGGTCGGGTGCCACTGCGTAAATTCTATCACACATCGATCTTTAACATGGATTCATCCAAGGCTTACGTGGAGCTCCCTGTAGTTGCGTCAGGAGAGTGGATCAGCGAAGGAGGTACATAAACAAGACGTACCGCATTCCTCCAGGCTCGACAGTTACTTCCGCCACGGCAATTGCCGTCGCGGCCGGGAACGTACGCGAATCGACGATTTTGACCGAGCCGCCGGCGAGCGGTGTCGTCGACATGTTCGACATCTTAAACGTGAACGGATTCGGCACCTGTCCGTATGGGTCCTCAACCACTTGCGCATAAGGGGAGGGTGAGTCTGTGCAGAGCGTTTGAGTACATATTGAAGATGGCACATGAAGTCGAATAAACAACATACTGCCGGGGAATATATAGAGTTCCTTTCCAGGGAGCTCGTCCCATGCGGAGAGACTGGTCCCAAAATTCTTCGCGATCACCTCTTTGGGCGTGTGTGCGAGCCAGTCCGTCAGCTGGAATGTTGAGTCGTCGCTGAAGTCTCCGTTGTCAAAGACCTGGAGGAGGTCAGCAGAACGTTCGTAGTCGAAGAGAGACGGGAGACACACAAGAAGAAACTCTGCCCCATTTGGATCATCGTTCGTCGCCTGCAGACTGTGCGGGACACCGGGCGGGAAGTACCAGAGATCACCGGGGCCCTGGCGGGTTTGGCGGATGTCAGACAGAAAACAGGAACAGATCAGGGATGGCACACGTACCACGTTGCCCAAGTAGTTCCTGCCGTCCTGATCGACAGAGGTGACTTGCATATAGCCCTGTAATACGCAGACGAATTATAAATACAACTTCGTCGGCGCGATTGAGCCGACATACGCTGAGTACATATGCCCACTGGCGGAATGACATCAGTATGTTGTGAGGAAATGATTGGGAGAGGAAACACTAACTTCAGCCGTCTTGTGCCAATGGAGCTCCCTGCATC